TAACTTTTTTGTTCAAAGAAATTTATCTAATGTACTTATAAATAAAATGTTCTACTTAATTAAATATTATTTGATTTAATAGTATTATATATGTTTAAAAATCTTGTTAATTATTTTTGTATAACCTTTAACAAAATCTATATGTATGTACGTATATTATCTAATGTTATATAGGTATATCTTTTTATTATTATTTTTTAGTAAAAATGGAAGATCATCACTATTTTGAATTTAATAACACATATTGTACAGACAATGAAGTGTCAAATGAGAATAATATTTCTATAGAAGAAAAAGACAGTGATGCTTTTCTAATTGAATTATACAGAGAACGACCATTTCTGTACAATAAAGGACACAAAGATTTTAAAAACATAATAATTAAAGATAATGCTTGGAAAGAAATTTCTAAAATCATGCAAAATAAAAATTATGGTAAATATCAAATATTTTTAATTAATATCTTTTATTATGTCTTATTGCTAATATATATTATGCTAATTATAATGATAAAATCTCAACATTTTTACAGGCAACTTATATACACCTGATTATTGTCAAACTAGATGCACATCTCTAAGAAATCAATATAATCGTGAGAAACGAATAATAGATAGTCAATATAAGAGTGGAAGTGGTGCTTCAACTCATAAACCCTTTGCATTTTATACTCAATTATCTTTTCTTGACAATTATATCAAGAGACGAAGGTTTATAATGATAATTGCTTAAAAATCCGTATTTTAATAGTATAATATGTATATATACTTATATATTCTTATATTTTCAGAACATGCAGTAATATAAAACCAAATAAAGCTTCAACATCTACATCATCTTTAGAACTGTCAACAAAAATTCCAAAATTTAGTTCAAATGAAGTATTTGATACCAAAGAAAAATCAAGTCATTCTATGCACGAAACAGAAGATAATAATTTTAATGGTGAAAATAATAAAGAAAATATTTTAGAAGATACTCGTGAAACACACGTAACACATAAACACAACATTGACAAAGATTCACCATCAGTCGTATTACATACAAAACCTAAATCTAAAAAAAGTAAAGTCGATGAAACAAAGGAATTAGACAATATGTTTACATCGGTTAGCCAGAAAATCATGAATGTTTTAGATAACAAACGTGAAAACAATAATGAAGACGAAGCATTTGCACAATTTATTGTTGCTCACTTGACAAATCTTCCACAATCTGAGAAAAATATAAGAAAGAAAATGATAACAGATGCTTTATTTTCTTCACTATAAAAAATTTAAAATTTTTTGTTTTTAATGATTTTTATTTTTTTCATAAAGTATTTTTATTTTTTATTACAGAAGTATTTGTTATTACAATATGTGATACATTACTATATGTGATATTGTAAAAAAGACTGTTTCTTTTAAGTAAGATTTTAAGTTTAAAATAATATTTTCAGTATAAGAAAGTATGAGAAATATTTTCATATTTAAAATATGAGAGAGAAAATGTTAACAGATGCTTTATTTTCTCTACTATAAAGAATGTAATATTTTTTGTTTGTAATAATTTTTATTTTTTTCATAAAGTATTTTTTTTTTATTACTGAAGTATTGTTTAATACAATATGTGATACATTACTATATGTGATATTGTAAAAAAGACTGTTTCTTTTAAATAAGATTTTAAGTTTAAAATAATATTTTCAGTTACATTGTTTTTTAAATCTAATAAAATTTTATTATTTAGTGCGCAAAACAATATTTTTGTTTAAGATTTTTTATTTATGTGATAGGTGATCTTAGATAGATGATAGATATGTGATAGATGATCTGATATGTGCATGATTTGTATGTGTTAATTAATAGTTCTAAAGCACTTTCCTTATTAACTATGTTTATTATTTAATTGCTTCATTTGTATACCTTTGTAATGTATATCTTGCTAATTATATAATTATTAGATACAAAATTCGATTTGTGGTATTTGTTTTTATTTACATAGATCTTTATTACTAGATACACATCAACTTAGATTAACTTTAAAGCTTTATTGTAAAATTGTAACATTATAGTTGAAACATTATGCCGTATGACTAAAGACAAATACAATAAAAACAAAATATATAAATGACTTTCATTAATAAATAAAAATAATAATTAATAAATGTAGGTAATACTATGTGCATTAATATTTTGCTTGTAACATTTCACTATAAAGAAACCTTTTCTTAATTGCTGCAATGTATAAACTTTCAGTAAATAAAGTAAATTAGGTTGTAGATATTAATATTAATTGATCTAGCAGTAAGGAGATAATTGGTATATAAACTTTACATATAACAACATGCAAAATCGGTACGACATTATTGTCAAACTCTAATTATATATATATATATATCTTTATATATATATATATAAAGATTCTAACTTTATCTTATTCATTTTTTTACTTAAGTAGAGCTCAGTTTAGAAATTATGTTGTCAAAAAAGTGCTAAAAAATATCAAGCTATATAATTCTTGAACACATTCTTTTTTCATATTAACATTTTATTAGAAAGAATAAGATTAAATAAATAACTAAAAATTAAATGTATGTGTATAAAAACCATTATTTTTATAATATTATTAAATATTTTCACCATATGTTCCTCTTTGCACGTAATCGTATTGCCACGGTACTTCTCCTTCAGGTGATATAAAATATTTACACAATGTGTCTCTTTGTTTCGAAGCAGAAGATACGGTTTCATTATAACATAAGTTTTCCGATGAAGACAACCACTGCATTTCCTTTATAAATAAAAATAACATGGTTAATTAAATTTATAAAATATACAGTAATTAATATTTTAATAACAATATTATATACACATAATGTATCTGCATTTATTTAATTATTTTATTATATTAATTATTAATATTAAAATTTTTTTAATTTATCAAAAGTTTAAACATAAAATTAAGTTATATATATTTTTTTTAATGCAGAATACAAATATTTAAATGTTTATTTTACCTGATTATTTGTATCGTTTTCAAGAAATTCAGTTGTGCTATATAACTTTAGTTTACAGCGTTCTTCTTCAACCATTACAAAATTATGTAAGCAAAGCGATGCTGTTGTCATCAAATCGGCTGTTTTTGGCAGCATACAAATGGATTGTCGAAATATTCTCCATCTATTGGAAAATATTCCAAATGCGCTTTCGACTGTTCGCCTAGCCCGAGAAAATCTATAATTGCATATTTTTTGTTCTTCATTTAAGTTTCTTCCGGTATATGGCTTCATAATTCTCGTATTTAATGCAAAAGCATCGTCTGCCAATAAAAAAGTTGGTGTACAGATCTGACTTCCAGGTAATTTGAACGTTCCCTTTGGTAGATTTAAATTTTCATTTTTCAAATTTTCTCCAATTAATGAATCGTTAAAAATTCCGCCATCGCTGTTACCACCGTATGCACCAACATCAACTAACGTAAATCTATATACATGGTTTGCCACTGCCATCAAAACAATACTATAATATTTTTTGTAATTATAAAAAAGACTTCCCGAATTAGGGGGACATTGCAAGGTAATGTGTTTTCCGTCTACTGCCCCTACACAATTTGGCACATTCCACCTCTTCCAAAATCCTTCAGCATACGACTTCCATTCTTCTTCACTTGGTTGTGATAGATACAGTGGTTGTGATACATTTATTAATATCTGACATACTTCTGTAATTAACATACGCACTGTTGATTCACCAATTCGAAATGATAGAGCGATAGACAAAGGAAGATCTCCAGTGGCAAGATATCTGAAATACATTTTCATTAAAATATCTATGTTATTAATATTATTTATTATAAAAAGATGATTAATTTTCCATTATTCAACATTTATATTTAGTCTAGAATACTTGTTTTAGTCTACCACAAAATCTGTCTTTGTTACTTTAATAAAATTTCTTTTTTATTGTTATTTCTACAAAATATAATTATTTTGAAAAAATAATAAAGTAATTACTTATATAATTATATACCTTAATACTATTATCAATCTTTGTTCTGCAGGAAATGCTCGATAGCTATTTTTTGTTAAATGAGGTTCAGTTAATTGAAGTAATTTGTTAAATAAACATAAATTCATTCTCGTATAACAAAAAAATAAATTTTCATCATTTTTTAAATCTTGGAAAAGTGTCTCATAAGCTCCGTATTTGTATCTCGATCAGTTGGTTTATTGGTCGCACGTACCATCTTCTTTTATACCATCTAATTTGTTTTTTTTTTCGTTTTAATAATTTATATAAAAGCATCCATTGTAAAACAAGCAATAAAAATTGCTTATTTCTATGCATCATTTTAATATACCCGAAATTAAAATTGTTTTCTGTAAAATAAATTAAATTAAATATTATACAATTTTAATAATTGACAAGATTTTTAAACATATAATACTATTAAATCAAATAATATTTAATTAAGTAGAACATTTTTATTTATAAGTACATTAGATAAATTTCTTTGAACAAAAAAGTTA